ACTGATAGTTGCTATAATTATCTCCCATTTCATGAAGTTAATTTTTTGTTGAAGCTGCTTTCAGAGTGATGCAAATTGCGTATCGGAGGTTTAAAAATATAAAAATTCCTGGGGAACAGACCCCCCTAGGTGCCTCGCGCATTCGCCGCCCGCAAAACTAGATTGTACATCCGAAAACTTTGACTAACGTACGAAAAATCCTGGATCCGCCCCTGCAAAAAAAGTCCAATGTCATCGCCAACATTGGACATAAGTTTCTTCAAGCTATCGTGAGCAAATAAATTCATTTTACAACTACGTTAAATATTCGCAAACGATCTTTATGTCCATAAACAATTGTACTTGCCCATAAAGGTCAGCTGCTTATATTTTGGCTTATACATAGCATATTTTTACAAATAATTACCCATGTCTTTATGTAATCCGACGTGGTTTCGCTATATAGTATTATCCTATTTCACTCCACTTTCAATGCGTGCGTATCCCGTGAGTCACACTCAGCATGGGTCACAACTCTAGTCATGCATGAGTCACAACGTGAGTCAGGCTCATTAAGCTCTGCCAATTAATCAGCGCTCGATGGCATCTCTTTGTTTACCTTTTGCAATGTGTGAGTAAAGTGCGAGTCACGCTCAGAGTCAGTCACACTGCGAGTCTGTGCGTGAGTAACGCTCGCCAAGCTCGACCAAACAGCGCGCAGTGTCATCATTTCAGACGGTGGATGAGGAATGGGGGAGAGGGGGTTTGTCTACTGAAGTGATACAGGCAACAACATTGCAGAACTTACAACAAATCTGAATTCAACAAAACCTAATTAATTGTCAATTTTCATAAAACACGTGGTTTTCATTTTGAATTTACGGCGTCCGAGCGAACAAGCGCAAACATTTGTTATTTTGATGTATTATTGCATCGTCATCATGAGCAGCCAATACTTTTTTATAACTCACCAAATTGGCAGAGGTCTCCACTGTATCCCTTTGGACATTCACACATGTAAGGGTCAGTACCTGGTCCGCCTTGGAGATAAATGATCGTCTTTCCCCCATTTTTACAATTCTTCATTTTATGGCATGGAACCTGTGAAGTAAATGTGTTAGAATTCAGCACACGATAAAAAGAGAACATTTTAGCCAAATTTAATTGTGTAAATTACATAACGGAACAACGTCAGAAGTTCGCCAGAGGCTGGTTTTTCGAAAGGCATTTAACTTTATTAACATGCGTATGTGTCTGCGGGAGTGTGTGTGTGTGTGTGTGTGTGAATACGGTACTAGACGAACTATTGATCTGTGATCAGGCCTAACTTATACAGTGGCAGTCAGGTTCTTTGTAGAAAGGCTTTGACTCGATCATATTTGAGCTAAATATTTCTTTCAATTTAGATCTCAACTGCAGCGGTGGAAGATTATTGGCACATCTCTATACCTTTTCTTTAACGGCTGTTTTATTTTATTTAAGAAAAAGCTGTATAAAGTGAAATAGCAGCCTTTGTTGGCCAAAACAATGTCGGTGAAGTTGCTAACCGCAATCTCCAAATCTCAAATGCCGATATTTTTATTGCATGCATAGTTAAATCTGAACCTATATTTAATTTTGGAGTGGCTATATATAATTTTTAAGCTGAATCATTTAAACTGAATTATTCGTTTAAATTTTAAAACATTCTTAATAAATTATTATTATTATTATTATTATTATTATTAATGTTAAACACTCCCAAAAGGGTTTTTCAGTGTTCAATACAGAAGTTATAAAAAGTAATTACTTAATTAAATTATATTCTAAAAACTATATAATATACTATTAACACCAAAATATATAATATCAAGCTAGTTATATTTAAGGTAAAATACTTATTAATACTATTTAATTTAAAATTTAGTCAGTAAAAGATGTAATTCAGTTCTGTTCATCGCGAAATTGTTGAACCAAATAACTTCGTAGCCCGCTTTTAAAACGTTCCAAATTAAGATTATGGTCTTTTAGCCATTCTGGCAAACTGTTCCATAAACAAGAAGCTCGGTAGCGAAAAGAACGTTGTCCGGTCGCTGTTTTATATAAAGGTATTTCCAATAATTCGCTAGATCTTGTGTTCAAATTGTGTAATTGTGATCTTGTTTGGAACATACGACATAAATATGATGGGGCCATACCATTAACACATTTATAAGCCATTACTGTATCTCGGAATCGCAACATATAATTGACTGGTAACCAGTTAAGCTGTTTTAAAGATGGAGTGATATGGTCGAATTTTTTTGTGTCCGTGACAATACGTGCTGCGAAATTCTGAACTTTTTGCAATTTTGCAATGTTTTTCTTCGATGAATTAGACCATATGATTGAACAATTATCATGTTACCATGACAACTGATTCAAATGGTTGTGCTAGCAAGGCGAGGAGAGAGTACTTACATAAAGATGTCTCACTTCAGGTTAATTTAACGTAAGAGACTTTTTCAGCCCGTCACGATTTTAGCAAGTGCCCTAAAGAGAGGCCGTCACCTCCCTGAAACCATATTAGAGACCTTACGATTTTAGGACGGCAACGCGACGGCAACGGCTACCAATACAATAGATTATTGAAAAGGTCTGAATTGAGTAATTACAATAAATGAATAATTTAGACATTGTCCTCGCTCTGTTTACAACGCCAAATCACATATTTTCACGTGTTGATACAACGGCTGCATTCCAAGCCACAACAAGTGCAACTTCAAACTGGGTTTAGCAGAATTAACTCTTCCCAACCATAAAACCCATGTCTTCAACTTCTAAGACTGTATTAAATTCATACGATTGATAATATACGACGAACAATCGACTACCATTTATTTGAAGGAGTTTGTATTGGCCGTCGCCGTCGCGGTTGCCGTCCTAAAATCGTAAGGTCTCTAATGAAATTCGGTGTTCCGCAGGGGTGAATGCTTTCTTTAGGGTACTTGCTAAGAACGTGACAGCTAGCTTTTCCGGTAAAAACTACTTTACGGCGGTTTTCCCGCAGATGTGAGACCTCTGTATTTAAGTACTCTGTGGCGAGGAGTTTCTGCACTGATATATTTCTTAATCGTGTGCTACATATGTTCTTCTAGGGGCAAAGAACTGTAGAAGCCTACAATTGTTTGTTTATCGCTCCTAGCGCAAATGTTATATATATTCTTATTATTTATAAGTTTATATCATGTTAAAAGGGGAAAAATTAAACATCTAAATGTCTACCTGTCAAATAGGGTTGGCTCAGCAAAATTGTTACATCTAGATCAGAGTACCGTATTTACTCGTTTGAGCGCCGCGGCGCTCTTTAAATTTTCAGAGCTTCAGATGCGGCGCTCATTCGGGGGCAGCGCTCAATGGGGGGCGGCGCTCTTTAAAAAACTTTTATTTGTGAATTATAACAAGAACTTTTAACAACAAAACACAAAACAATAGACACTCCGAAAATTGTAAACACTGTAATTCTTCATAAAGAATTACAATGTTTACAATTTTCAGAGTGTCTATTGTTTTGTGTTTTATTAAAATACTCTATGGCAACCGCAATTTTTAACAATAAGATAAACAAGTTTTAAATGTCTTTGTCACTAAATGTCCCCATTTTGACGGTGGAAAGTTTTTACACTGTTTAACCACTGAGCTATACTTAATATATCTGGAGATCGTGCTCCAATACCTCGTCAGTCAAAAATGTGTGGCCAAAAACATGGCGGATTTTGGCCAAATTTACGTCATTTTGACGTCACAATCGACCTAAATTTATGGTGAACACCACTGACCTAAAATACTAACGTGAAGAAAAAAGTTATTCACACCCCCCTTTCAATTTGCTTAAAACAGAAGGAAGTTTCTATATTGAAACGAGACATTTGCAACCATGCCAACTTTTTGTTCAATTCCTGGTTGCCAAAAATCTACTGAAAGAAAGGACCTGTCCTCACATGCGTAAGGCTCATATAATCTCTTTTTTTTGTAATAATTTAACGCATGCTGTATTGCTGTATTGAATGCGTAAATTTGTGAATTCATGAAATTTATTGGCAAGCAACATACAATACAATTTATGTTAGTGTACTACAGTGCAAAAGCAGAACAAAATTTTAAAATGTTGATAAGCTTGTGGAGCTGTTGTCGTGCAAGTATTTATTTTCATGCAAGTTGATGGATGTGATGCAGTGATGAAATCCTATCGATATCCTAACAGATAATGCTATGTTAAAAAAATTTGAAATGAGAATTTTAACAATGTGATAAAGATACGACTAGCTTTAAATGTACAAAGCCTTTCACTCATTGTATTGTCTTTATTGTGGACTAAACCATGTGTTGTCTAGTGTGGCATTGTTTATATTGTAAGTTATAGGTATCGTATTGAACAGTGTATTAACTAGACACTAAAAACAATTGTTCATTTACTTCAAAGCTTTCCAGATGAGAAGAGATTCCCTGAATTGCACAGCATATGGGTGAAGAATATAAGCAAACTTATGCCTGTGAAGTTTGTTCCTATGAAAAATAGTCGTTTGTGTTCAAAGCATTTTAGTGCTGATATCTTTGAGGAGGATTACAGCCAGAGACCAGTGTTAAAGCCATATGCTGTACCAACAATCTTTAATGATTGCTTTGGTCAGCTCGGTTGTGATCTTTACAGTTTATTATCAGTACAATTAATGGTCATACTGTACATGAGGGGTAATTAACCCATTAAGCGCCAGCGCTCTCCCCTTGACGAGTAAAATTGTCTGGCGTTAGACAGAGTAAAATACTAAAATAGGGTGCTTCGCCACTCAATGGGTTAAATTTATTCCTTAATTTTTCTGCTAACAACTTTAAGTTATTTGTACATATTTTGGTCTGTTTAGCTAAGCCAATATTGCTACATTTACATTTATTTTGACCATTTGTGTTAGTGTACAAATTAGGCTGGCATAATTACTGTAGGTGCTGACCATCAAGTAGGGATTGACATGCATAGAATTGGTTGAGCAGTTTATTTAATTAAATTGGTGTTGTATGTGTTTAAAAATAAAGAATAAATTTTGTTGTGATTTGAAATTGAATATATTATTTATTCTTATTACTAAATGTAATTATATAATTATCTTGGAAAATCCTTTTTTGAATAAAATATTTTTTTAATAATTCTTCACTGTCATTCCAATTGAAGTGTTCCTCAAATATTGATTCAATACATTACCTCGGGCTAACCAATTCATTTGATTAAGTTCCTCAAGATATTCATACACTTCCTAGTATAATAGTAAACTTCCTGTTAAATGGTTTGAATGCACCAATCACCTTTGTTGTTTGTGCACCAAACCAATCATAAATAGAAAGGAAGTGACCAGAAATGATTAAATACTTGGAATTGGCTCTTTCACAGGAAGTGTATGAATATCTGGAGGAACTTGATGAAATGAGATGCTTGTGTGATGTTACTCTGAGTGTATATCCACACCGGGCAGGCTTGAAAAATATGCCTGGCCACAGTGGGATTTGAACCTACGACCTTTGGAATACTAGCCCAAATGCCAATGCTCTGTCAACTGAGCTACGCGGTCAGGTCGGTTTGAATCCCAATGTGGCTTGGCATATTTTTCAAGCTTGCCCGGTGTGGATATGCACTCAGAGTAACATCACACAAGCATCATATTCACAAATATCATGGTTATTAGATTACACTGATATCGAAGAACTAGACTCAGCGGTTCCGAAATATCGCATACTCGAACTGCCCCGACTGTATAGCTCAGTTGGCAGAGCATTGGGCCAGTATTCCAAAGGTTGTAGGTTCAAATCCCACTGTGGCCAGGTATATTTTTCAAGCCTGCCCAGTGTGGATATCCACTCAGACTATGTAACATATCACACAAGCATCTTATTCACCTGAGTACATGTATTACACCAACACAGCAAATATCTTGATGAAATGAATTGGTCAGCCCGAGGTAATGTATTGAATCAATATTTGAGGAACACTTAAAAATAAGGTATGAATCGCATAAAATGCAGATATCAAAATCAAACATTGTAACTCGAGCATAAAAATGTGCATATTTGTTTTAAAAGGCGATTGTCCCTTGAATGTTCAATGAAATAGTGCCATTGCCTTTTACAAGGAAGGCCATTATAAAGAAATACTGTGAAGTTTCATTTGATTCCCACAATCGGTTCGAAGAAGTAAAGACTTTATAATATCACGTTTTGTATAAGTTATAATTCCCGTTCTAAAGTCAACGCTCGCTCACATGTTATATACTATATCCGAAGTGTCAATCAAATTGTACATTTCCTTAATAATATTAATAGTGATGGGCGATACCGAGTACTTGGTATTCGATACCAGCGATACCACAAACAGCGGTATCGGTATCGATTACTGACGTGGTATCGTTCGATACTTGCACCCTTTTTTAAACGACTTGTTTAATTTCACTTCTTGGTTGAATAAGACTTAATGAACCACTAAAATAAGTCTTAATATTCCAAATGTGCTGTACCAAGTCATGTATAGAAAATATTTATTACGTTTCAGGCTTTTGGTTTACATATAGCTTTATTTAGGTTACATACAGTAATGTAAAATGTTTTTCCGCTGACCGGAAGGTATCGAAAGTAGCCGATAGCCGATACTAGCAATTTAAGTACTCACTTCCGGTATCGAAAATTGAAATTTTGTGTTCATTTTGGTATCGAAATAGGTATCGGTATCGGCCGATACCGATCTTAAAAGTATCGGTATCGGTATCGAATTAAAAATCCTGGTATCGCCCATCACTAAATATTAACACTACTGATCTATAAATGTAACTGTATAAACATTCACGATAGTACACTTGACTTTCTTCATTGCCACCTGGTACTTAGTACAGATATCCCATATTTTCTTGATAAATTCATACCTGAAAGCGGAATACATACAGGTGTAAAAAACTTTAATGGTGATATAAGGGCTTTATATTCCAAAGAGTTGCTTTTCCCCACAATTTACTAATAGAATAAACTGGTATTAAAATCTCTAAAAAACCCTTTGTCACTTAGGGAAATTTATAGCAGTACGGTTTTCAACAAGCTATATTTGATTAATTTTACTTGCTGGGGATTGTTATAATACTCGTGTTTTAAAGAATAATCTTGATAGTCAGTTGCAACACAAATTCACAATACAACAAGAATTGATAAATCATTTCAATGACTTACATGCTTTGTTCTTGTGGCCGTCAAGCTCCATTCATGTCTTTTTTTATTAATGGCTTTCGGTCTTTATTGATTTATACGCGCAGTTAGAATAATACTGTATTTTCAAAAGGATAACCTGAGTATCAGGCCCTCGATATTGAAAGAGGGCCTGACACAATTCGCCTCAAAAGCCATGTTCAACATCCAGAATCTGGATGTTATGCTGATTGGCTAAGAGACGATAAAACGCATCATGTGATTCAAACCGGAAATATATG